TCCCATTTAGAATTTAGAAACAAAACTGTGGAAACATTTTTTTCTGTCTAATGTTTTGCAAAAAGTTATTTTAACAAATTTAAATTCAGGGCCTGCTCTGACCGGCCAGTGCCCTGGGAAATAGTTGAATCCGGGCCACAGCGATGGCCGTGTCGGAGTTGGGGCTTGAGCTCCAGGAGCCCTGCAGTTCTCGGCACGTTAGCCCTCAGCTCAGGGACAGCATTCTCCAGGCTCTCCCCAGCTCCTGGGATTTGTCCGCATGGGAAGGGCTGTGCAGCCAGCATTGGCTTGCTTGCTGCCCTCGTTTTTCACTCTGTAATGTCCGTGCTTACATGGCTTACATGATCTGCACAGTTAGGGGCAGCCTGAGGAGTCCCCTGAGCTCAGCTGAATTGATTCCCAAGGAGTCAAAACAACTGAGGAGAGCAAATCGATGCCAAAAGCCCTGAGCTCCGCTCAATATTGGGTTAAAGTCAGAGCAAGAGCCACCTTGCCCATGGGGGCGCCTGGGTCCTTGCAGGTTTTGACCGCTGGCCTTGAGGAGCCGGGGGCACTGCCAGGATGCAAGCGCACGGAGGCCGGGCCGCGGGACCCCAGCAGCGTGTGCTTATCCCCGCTCGTGCACGCACGTGTGCAAGCGCTGGCATGTTCCCGTGCACCCGCCCCATGCCGCGCTGCGTGAACGGGTCTCACTGATGTCTGTTAAACGAAACCGTGATGCTCAATGGTGACCTTAGCCCTGACCTAAAAAGGCCTACATCTGTCAAGGAGCAAGAAGTAATCCCATAAAATCCTCAGCTTCCTACTTAGCAGGGTAGGCTAGTTATCCTCTGCCTTCTGCCCTGATGGCTCTCACCAAGGCAGAGATCTGGGCACTAAGTGCTTCTTTGGGGACGCCGAGAATGAGTAGCAAAGCTGCTAAATGTTTCTGCTCTGGGGAGGCCCCTCATTCCCTGTTCCGTGACCCAATCTCCAGAGCAAAGATGGAGCCAAACAGTGGGGAATGAGCTGGTTCTCCCACTAGTTGCGGGTCTCTCCCTGTGAGGCCTGGCCTTGCGGTTGGCTGTGTCTCAAGTGGGTGCTGAGTTCCCTGCTGACCCAATGCTTTTGACTGAAGCGGAATCAGAGCAGCAGAAAAACCAACCCCTCTGCCTCATGGAGGGCGTCTCTACCGGGAGGGTTGAAAATACCCCGGACACAGCGTAGCCCCATCCCTGCTCCAGTTGCGTTAGGTGCAGGCAGTCTAGGCCTGGCAGGAGCAGCTGGACAGGGATCAGGCTTCAGCAGCTGGCCCACCACTGTGGCTGCCGAAATGCAGGCACTGCCCCATCCCACACAGAGGAGATTGCCCTAGGAGCTGAGCATGCAGCAGGAGCAGGTGCTTGCCCAGGGTTCAGAGAAAGGGTTTGCTCTGGTATGAGGCAGAGGAGAGCTGCATGTGCTGTGGCAGGGAGCCGGGCCGCTTCCTGCTCTCCTCCTCCACATCCTCCTCCTCAGCACGGAAGACTTGCGTTGGACGGCAAGTACACGCTCCCTGCCGGGGAGTGGGCAGCTTTGCAGGCACTCGGCTCACCGCGTGCGGCTGCACACACTGCCCAGCGCCTGCCCTGCTCTGGGGCACATGCTCCGTCATTTAGGGAAGAGACACGTTAGGCCGCACGCAGTCTGTGACAAGCGCAGCAGGGCCGCTCGGCACGTCACAGCTACGTGGAAAGGGCAGTGCGATGGCTCGTCACAACCCTGCCAGGGCTCGGCGAACTCGCTGGCATCAGGCGATCAACATTGCCAGGCCCTCAGCGGGTCCCGCTCGCGCATCGTGCACCAGCGTGGTGCCAGGGCAGCCCGAGCTGCCGGACCACAGGAGACGCAGAGGAGCTAGGTAGGGGAGTGGGGCTGCCGGGGACTTGTTACTGGCCTCCTCAAGAGAAAAGCAATCACTCACACCCCATCTAAAGGCCTGTGATTTAATCCCCAGGGACCAACATGGAAAGATCCAAGATAAACAACATCTGTGCGGTCACAAATAGGAAGCGGAGCCTCTTTCATGTGCTGAGCCTGTTGATTAACCAAGGTTGTTGTTTGGCTTGGCTCTCCCCACACCCGAGCCGGGGTGGAAGGTAACTGAAAGAGATGATTTGGTTACACTCCCTAAATTCAAGTGTCTTTAAATAGTGCGCAGCTTTGCATTCTGGCTGCCAAGGACTGATGGGAAAAGGTAGCAGGAGAGCGCAGATGGCTATCAGAAGGGAACCTGTGTTTAGTCTGCTTGTGCCAGATGGGAATGGAAAGTTCGCTCCCTTGCCAAGTGTTTAAAAGAGGAAATAGGATGTGATATTCTTGCCTCCCACTCCTTTCTCTCCCCTGAAACCAGCACACTGCTCTACTTCCACTTGGTTTAAAAAAAAAAAAAAACACAATTTGGACTATATAAAACCTTAGAGATGGATAGAGACACACCCCATTCCTGTTTAACATGTTTATTATGTTAAGACATATGGAACATTGTATTTTTACACACAACTGGGTCTGACATGACTCAGCACCTGCCTTTCCACCTCCCGTAACCCACGCACCAGAAACCACCCTGTGAACAGCAGGGATATTTTGCCATGGTCAGCCTGTGCATGGTGCATTTTCTCAGAGGCAAAGGACCCTCGTGCTGCAGGCCACCTGCATTTGTACCCAGAAACGAAGCAGCGACTGAGCGCAGCTTGTGCCTGCCAGGGACACGGGTGACCCCCTGGCCCAGATGCGCAGGAGAGCCAGCGTGTGCAGGGACTATCCAGCAAACAAAGCGGGAAATGCAGACTGCAGCCAGGGGCGGGCTGTCAGGTCGCTGCTAGTTGCACGGGGATGGGGAATGAGGAGCCGGGCACATCCCTGCTGCAGCCATGCTCCTTCAGCACTTGCACGCAGGGGTGAGTTTAGCCCTAAGAGTCTTAGTGACGCACCTTGGGAGACTTAGGCTGATCCCGGTTTGTGGAGACGTGACCCCTGCCAGTCAGCATTAGGTGAGCAGCGGGCATCTCCCAGGAACAACATGTGAGCACAGGATCACAGGGACCTGGCTCTACGGGATTCGGCTTGGCTGGGGAAATCAGTAGGGGAGGGACCGGAGCAGCTCTGTTGGTTCCATCACTCATCTGCCCTGACACCACTGAGATGGCACCTGGGTTCTGCCCCACAAGACGAACTGCCCTTAGAGCAGAGACAAAGGGAGCACTCACAAGGGCGGCACCCAGAAGTTTTTCCACAGGAGGATTTGCACACTGAGCCTTTCCACCCGGATAAGTGAGCTGACTTCAGTGACCACAGTCAGCTGAGATGAAAGTTAAAATAAGGCCAACTATAAACTGCACCATAATCCCCAAACAACCAGGCCATTATCAGGACTCAGGACAACAAGGTCCCATTAAAAGGCATCTGCCCTGTAATTTCTCATGGACCCTGTTATCGTGCTTACCCAGCATGGTCTGCAAGGACTGATCTCCTCCGACCTTCAGGAGGAGACTGAAGGCCTCTGCAAGGCAGCGTCCCTGCACGGGCGGCTTGGTGCAGCCACAGGCACTTTCCAGCATTGCTGGAGCTCAGCGAGACTGCAGGGGGCAGGGGGCAGCTGGAGTCCTCAGGGGCCACTGTGTGAGAGAGGGCACAGCTGGGAGAAGCCATGGAAGTGCCCACTGTTGCTGGCCTCCTTGCTCCACAGTCATTTCCCCTTTGCCTCCTGCAGTTACTTTCAAGGTTATTCCTTGGCTCCAGCACACAAATGGTTAAGCAAGTTAATCCTGTTGGAAATAGCAAGAATTTTAAGATACCCTAAAGACCAGTCCTCAGAGTTCGGACTTGGCTGCAGGTGGCATTGCTAATGGAGAAAAGCTGGAGTGCGACTGCAAGTTTTCATTACCTGTGCACCTGACTTCCAAGGCAGCGAGTGTTATCACTGGTTAAGCCCCCAAAAGAACTGAATCAAATGGACCCTTATTCCCCTTTTTTTTTTTTTTTTAAATGACAAGGGACTCTAACTGCCTTCTCCTCTGGCGGGCTGGGCTAAAAGGTTTGTGTTACAGTGACAGAAACACAGATGACCAGATCCAGGCCTTGGTTCATGTTCTGGACCCCTTCCTTCTCTTCTCTGCACAGCTAGAGGCCTGTGGGGTAGCTGAAGGGTTATTTCCCAGTGCATTTTGGGAAGAGTCCCCTTATAGCTCTCACGAGAGTGCCAAGGCCAGGAGCTGACCTGGATGAACACACAGCCACCCCAGCCTGTGGGAGACTCGAGCTCAGGGATGTGGCGGGATCAGTCATTTATTCATGGAAAACGTTGGTTTGGATTGAGCAAAAATATTTGTAAATGCCAACCTGAGTCAGTGAAATTATATCAGCATTTCAGACAGGGGGGGTTAAACTGAATACAGCAAAACCCTCCTGGCTGACCTCAGGAAACCTCTTTTGGGGTGATTTTTCATTTTGCTATGAAACCTAAACAACCAAAAATGTTCGCTTGAGATTGATCTGAAATGAACCTGGTTGGCCTTCTTTCTGGTCTGATTAATCACCCGAACAATTCATTATTGGCGCAGTTTTAGTAACAGGCACTCCAGGACCTGCCTTGGGCTGCAGTTTGTTGTGCCCGGAGCCTCTGGGGCAGCTGCGGAGCAGGATTCTGTCCTGGCACAACCCACATGAACCGCAGAGCTGCCCAAGCCCCACGGGGCTGCTTGGACACCTCAACACCCGAGCGCTGCCTGTCCCTGGTTGTCAGTAACCCTCTTTGCTTGCAGAGCATCTGCATTTTCTGTATGTCTTGCTTTCAGATGGCTTTACATGAAAGAGCAAAGCAAACCTGG